TTTTTTTGTTGGTTGGCCATTTCCTTCTGCTCCGGACCAATTGCAAAGTTTCACGGGTAATTTTAAAGATTTGTGTGCCGCAATCCATTAGGGTCGAGAGGAAGGACGAAGGCAACTTCCACAACTACTTGACATGCCGTTGGCCGCAATGAAATGCGCAATAAATAAGACGCTAAATGAATAGTTGGCCGAACAAACAAGCGCATAAATTTGGCTACTTTTCTGCACATCTTTTTCGTGTGTCGCCTGTAATTTGGCTTTCCACGGACCCCGTTTGTCATCGAATCTTCTTGAGGAAGCGGCTTTGATCACACATGCATTGGGTTGATTGACCGGAAAGCCATTGAGTGCTTCAAGACCTGGACAGGGAGAGGACACGAACACACGGTCAGGATATGGTCTCTCTCCACCTGCGTTGGCCAGGAATGAATCACGACTCCTGGCGACCAGACACTTCATCTTGAAACTTATGTCCCTCGCCTCGGGTATGCTGAAAGAGGAACGCCAGAAATGCGTAGCTCAGCAGCTTGTCATGTACAGGGGGAGAAATATTATAGCAACTTCTTAAGAAGAAAATAAAGTGTAAGAAATAATGCAAATACATGTAGGACCCTTTAAGAAGGTCGTGGTATATTTCCGTCTCTTTTTTTAATAGGTGATTAGCCATTAAATACAAAAGATTTATATGATAAATTCACTTTAATACTCCCTCATTTTCTTGTAAGTACTTTTCTTATCTCTGATTTTTCTCTGTGCACTCTTCTTCCCCCCTATACTCCCACTCTCCTACTATCTCTCCTGTCTAATGAACGTGCGGCATTTGTCACCGTAGTGGTGGCGTTGGAGGAGCTGCCGTGGAGGATGCCACCGTGTGGGTGGAGGTGGACTGTGGGCATTAGTGTCGGTCAGTTGGGTCTTGGCCATATGCAGCAGATTAAAAGTCGATTTGACAAGCTGTTGACTGGCCAAAAGGCTGGATGCAGGCGGCAGGCGGTAGGAGGCAGCCAAAGGATAAGCGAATAAGTGGAAGGCAAGTGGCATGCGTGTCCATGTCTGGGACCTCCTCTGCCGCAAGATTTATGTGGCCAGGCTCCACTAGCTAGCAAGCTGCTAGCTGCAAGCTGCCTGCCTGGCAGGCAATTAAAAAACAGTTAATGAAAAGCGCCAACTCAGCCTCAGTCTCGGTCTTTGCAAAAGTTTTTGCTGCGCCAAAAATTACGCATACGCCGCATGTGACAACTGTCAACAATATAATTCTTCTTAGCCCGCAGCCGTAAAAAATGATGCAGGTGGAGAAAGTGCCGCAGGGGGCGGGCAGAAAGAGTAGACAAGGGCAAGCCTAAAGCAGCTTAAGGCAGTTACTTTTTGCACCTTTTAGACGGCTTACGCAAGGGAAGGGAAGCCAAGTCAGTGCCAAAGCCGGGGGCTCACTTGCCTGTCGTCTTCGCTGCCAGCCAACGGGGGGGTAGGAGGAAGGGGGCGAAGGGGGGTTCAGAAGGCACCAGCGAACTAGAAAATAAAAATCCCTAAAGGTGATGGAACTACAGGAATACCCTTACCAGAGCAGATATAGAATTATATGGGGTTTAAGATGATGTAAAGATAAACACTTTCTAGAAATGAAAGTTTCGTATACCTTGGAAAGCTGTTTTCCTTAAGAAAACTACTTTTTGAAGTAATTTATTGCTATATACAAAGAAAACATTAAAGATAATAAAACCTTTAAGGCTAAACATTTTAATATTAAAGCTATTAAGACATTCTTTCCTTATTTAAATTATATTAAAAGCTATTTCTGCAAGCTACAAACTTGTTTGAGTTGTATTTTTGTAAAGAATTATTTTGTATTACCTCCAAAAAACCGTAGATCTGATTTTCTCAACTATTTAACCATTTCGTATTATATTTGTTAAATGCTTCTTTAGTCTGTAATATCCCCTTTTTAAGGGTAGCAAAAAAGAAAGAGATAGCCCCTCAATGGAAGTGAGACTTGGGGTTGGGGTTTGGCGAAAAGCGTGGCTGCACTTTAAGCCTTCACTGAGTAATTGCGCGCAAAAAATGCGCAAATTGAGCGCAAGACCCAGAAAGACCCCAAAAGCCTTACCCCAACCACCACCATCCAGCGAAAACTTAGTTTTCGACTGTGTTTACTTTACGAGTTGCGTTTTGCGTGCGAAAAGTTTTACTTACGACTTGCATAAATGCAGTCATTGCCAGCTCCTCTTCATCCCTGCAACTGCAACAGCCGCAGCAGCAGCAGCAGCAGCAGCAGTGGCAGCAGTAATAGTAGCAGTCTCCAGAGAGATTGGCATGTAAAATATGCTAAAAGCATGCCACTTCCCAGGGGGTCCACGGAGAGGGAGAGAGCGAGCGGGAAAAGAGGTGGTAAATGGTGGAAGGCCTTGCCGAGGCGTCGCTTAGTCGCGTTGTCAGATTTGTCAAACGCTCTCCACTGCATTGAACCATCAGCAAGGCAAGGGAGGTGGCATGATGGAGGGGAGCAGGAGCAGATGTAATGCCTCGAATGCCTCGATGAATATTTTCCAATTCCATGCCCCCAGGCGATGGCCAAAATATTTGCGACACTTGTGACGCATGTGAAGGGAAGCGTATGCAGGACATTACAGAAATTGGCATTAAAATGGAGTTAACCTTGCCAAGTTAATGAGTATATAGAAAGGAGTTTAAAGTCCTAAATAATGCAGTATTTCGTGTATTAAAAGTATCTTAAAGATCCAGAAATCACCCATTAGTCCTAGCATTATTTGCATACACTCTCTCTCTCTCTCACCACCAAATATATCTCAATTTTAGCCAGATAAATATTGTTTTAAGCTGTTCTACAGCTACAAAGTACCCAGACTCCACTTCATTTTCGCCTAGAAGAATGAAAAGTATGCCTGATGGAGTGCGAAACTTAAACTGTGGCAAGTTTACTGGAACTTACTTCGCGGCGAAACATAAATTACTCCGCTCATTGCGCACATTTCTGCGCCAAATCTAATTTGCCAATAAATTCCTTTGTTCATCTCGGCCAGAATGGAAGGCGTAGAGGGGCCTTGGCAGTGCACACTCCTATCGAGCAAAGTATCAAAACTTTAAAAGGATACTTTGCGGCATCTAGCAGATAATGCCTAAGCAGAAGGGGGCGCGGGCGCCACGCGAAATGCAGGCGAAACTTTAAAACTAAACAAACTATTTATAAATTGCGCAGAACTTAAGACCAACCCAAAACTTGCCAGGCAAAAGAAGCAAGAAACAGGCACTGGAAATAAATTGGGAACTCTTTATAGAGATACTAGATTGTTCAATTGAAAAAGATAAGGAATGGTTTAAATTAAAAAGTGAATATAATAATTTAAATTCTTAAATAATATATATAAGCAAGAACAATAGTAATTTTTAGATCTTTAATAACTTATATATTCCTATAGCGTTTGTATAAAATAAATGAATAAATAAACCAAAAATAAATAACAGGTAATTTCCCATTGTTATACTATTTGAATCAGAAGCTTGTAATTCAGTGAAGGAATCATTTCCGACCCTATAAATCATATATATTCTTGGTCAGCATCAACAGCCAAGTCGATTAAGCTATGTCTGGCAAAAATTTAATTTTTTAAAAATTCTGAAAATTTTATATCGTTAAAATTAAAAAAAAAAAATGGGCGAAAATTTTAATATTTTTAAATTTTTGATTTAGTATGCAGATTTATTAAGCTAAGAAAAACTAACATAAAAATGGATTTCGAATTGAATTTAAAGCTTTTTTGACTTAGTTATGAGGGTTTAAAACTTAGATTTTTCGAAAAAATTGTCATAAAATTAAAAATAACAAACCCAAGCACGATTATGTATTAAAATATTTCTTAGCATGTTTGGGTCTTAAAAAAATACAGCTTAGAGCATCAAAAAGGATAATTTTGCACCTTTTTATTCAGAATAAAGCTACAAAATATCGCATATATTGGACCTTAAAATGTCTTTAAAATGTGCTTCCATTGTTAAGTCATCTCCTCTCTCAGTGCATTTAGAATAGGGTCCTGGCCAAAAGAGGAGTGTGCTGCAAATGGACAGCGCGTAGGAAGATGCAGTTGCAACTGCTAGCCAAGCCAACTTCTTGCGGGCTGCGGCAATTCGTTTAAGCCGCTTTGCAGCCCCGGCAATTTATGTGCCACGGCTGCCTTGCCAGAAGTTTCTTAAAGCATGCAGAGAGGTCCTTCTACACCCTCCCCTCTCAGCCCCCCTTTTGTCTTAACCCAACAGCGAAAGGCTGGCAAATGCGTTTGGCAGACGCCGCGGCATCGATGACGCCCTGAAAAACTTGGCGCTAAATTGCGGCCGAGGCGCGTGTTCCACAAAAACTTAAGTGGCTTATGTGTTGGCCAACGGGGTTGGTAAGGAGGGGCGCAGGACCTTTAGGGCTGACACAAACAACAACCACAAGAGGCAACAACACTTTCAAGGAACATAAAGAATAACCACAAGTTGGGAAGTTGGGGCGCTTGAAACCGATAGGCTCATACCCTAGAAAGGAAATAAGAAGACTTGAAGGAACCTCAAGAATATAGGGGAGTTAATGTAAAGGAGAAGCAACTTATTCTGTAAACTAAAATAAGAATGAGGTCTTTAATTGTTATATATATATTAAATAATCAAGTAACAGTCCATTAAGTAGGTCTTAAAAGTCTGGAGAATTGTTTAGGTCAGGTTTTTTTCGTTTATAAATCTTTAAAAATTGCATTTTAAATTAAATTCTCATTCCAATAAATCTCCTAAAACACCTATATTCCTTAGCTAGTGTATATAGATATCTTGTGCTTGATGTGCATGAAAAATAATCATCGGCAGCACTCGGCAGCGTCGCAAAGTCTGTGGCAAAAGTCTTTGGCTTTCGATGGGACTTTGTCTTGTCTTCCACGAACTTGGTTCTGGGTCATGGGAATAGCTTTGGGAATAGGTTATACAGGATGTATATATTGGGGACACACTTCAGCATGAAGCTCACGCCGGGCGTCAATCAATCAACGGAGGAGAAGAGATCGATGCCGCTTATCGGTGAGTTCATAACATCAATTTCCATAAAAATCCGCTTTGCTGGGTATTTGTCGAGATGCCAAGACATAGGTAATGAATGGAATGAATGGATGGATAACTGCTGAGAAGCCTTCTCTACCTGTGGATCTCTGTCTCTCCCTCTCCCTGGTCTTAATTCACGGTGGAGTGGGTCCATAAAGTGGACACGATGTGACTCCGTCGCTCAAGTGTGATAATTAGCTGCAAGCTGTGGCATAAACTTCTATATACGTATGTATATTGATGCCGCTGCCGTTGCACCTCCCAGTTCCGGTGCTAATGCGAGAGGAGGCTTCATTAGCAGCTCTCCCCCTTGCCAATCTCCAACGGTTGCCGCTGCCTGTGCATAGTTAATTGGCCAGGCATTGTAATTACTTAAGCATTAACCACGAAAGCAACACTTGAGCGGCAACACCAAACGCCCGGCAGCATCGTAGTAGCAACAACAATGTCCAGTTCCGGTGGAGATTCGTTGGCTGCCCGCTGCTCCTGGCTCCTGGCTCCCGACTCCTGGCTTAATTAGGTTTTTGGGCAGCGGGAATTTGTCGTCATTGGATATATATATACAGCATATCCTGGCTGACTCTGGCATGTTGTATCCTTGTGAACCTTTCCTTTCCCCCCCAAAGTCTAACCCATAATTTATGATCGAAAACGCGTTCTGAACTCTGAGTCTCGAGGAAGCCTGGGCATTAAAAGCAATTGATTTATGCCGCTCGTTTGCGGTTTTCTATGTCTATGGATTGTCTCGGGCTGTGTGATTTAATCGACAGCCCATCGATTGTTAACTGCTGGCTGGATTTTATGGTTGCCTTGTTTATTCGATGGCTGGCAAATTGTCGGTTAACTCACTCAGATTAGTTTCAGACAGGCAGAGAGAAACAGACACTGAATCCGAAAGCAGGAGCCTCTGTGGTCGTCCCACAGGGCGTATGAATATTGATACAGATACAGTCAGTCAGTCATTGAGGAGCCTGCGCCTTTGTGCAAGTTTTAATAAAGTCAATTTTGGATTCAAGAAATTTGCACAGCAATTTGCAATTGCGAAAGCTGATTGATTTCGACGGCTCGACGCGGCGCCCTCTTCTCTACAGTAACTGGCAACTGAAGTGTGCGGCAGTTAACGAACACACACAGAAGCGACATATACTACAAGGATATGCAGCGAGAAAAAATAAGGAACTTCAAGGTTCATAATTATCCTTTTAAAATTGAAAGAAAACCGTAAGAGAAACCTTAAGTTAAAGCAAATCTTTGAGCCAAACCATGCTTTAAATTATTCATTTAACTTAGCATAGCATTAACCTTGTTACTTAATTTTCTCTTAGTGTTCAGTTACAGCTTCACACACATATATATACCCAGGACTCTGGCGGAGATTTCCCTTACAATCGCACACTTAAAATGCCAGCAGCTATAATTGTTACTCAGGTGACAGATTGCTGAATGGCAGCCAGCGACAGCAAATGAGGAGGGAGGATGGGGGTCGAGGAGAAGGATACCAGGCTCAAGGATCCCAGGACCGAGTGGAAAACCAAAACATACCGTGAACCGTAGAGGCGGCATCAACGTAACGTCAGACAAATTATCACGTTACACTCGAGTGCGTGAGGCGGGCAACTATCTGGCTCTCAGCTGGATCTCCTCCGCCCTGCTCCGCCATATCATCCAGCTTGCCTGCTGTGATTCCCCTCCCCTTCCCCCCACCATTTTCCGGCTCCCCACTCCCATTTTCCATCGCTTTTCCCGACCCGCTGTCTTGCAAGTTGTCGCCATGTGTCGTGTTCGTGGCAATTGCAGCGGCAGTTGAATCCTCATCCGAATCCGAATCAGAATCTAAAGGGAGGAAGCCCAGACCGGAGCGCCGGTGACGGTATAAATGCATCGGAGAATGGCAAAAGTCAATTTTGTGCTCTCACTGATGGTAGAGTGCACGCAGGAAAAGCGGGGAAAATGAAGGAAATCATAAAGAAAATGGGAAAACTTGAAATTGTAAATATAGAGAAATACATTTAATATTACACCTAATCCTTGTTTGTAAAGTTTTTGAGCTACAGCTTAACTTTATTGAAAATTGAAAAGGATTTCAGGCACTTCTTGTTACCCAATTCTTGCAGTGCACTTACATTTCCTGTTCCCCTCCTTGAGCTTAATGTATGTGCCACTGTGTGTGCCTGTGTGTGTCGTTGGTTACCGCAGGAATGATAACCCTGCTCGTGGCGTTCGTGGTCGTGCTTCGACTTGTGTGAACCCCCCCCGAGCAGTCAGTTTTCCCCACATCCTGGAAACTCCCTTGATTTTCCCTACTACCTCCTGGTGCCCGCCTGCTGTCTGCCTGCTTTATTATCTGCTTAAACATTGAGCCTTCCGACTCTCGATTCCCGACTGCCGACTGCCGACTGCCGACTCTCGGTTCCTGGCTTTATACGCCGCTGATTGACACACGGAGGCCCCCCATGGCGCCTTAATTGCATTCTGCTCAATGATAACATAATTTAAAAGGCCAAGGAGCCGCCGCCAGGTGTACGGATTGTCCGGCTTGATTTACGAGTAGAGCCTCTTTACATTTGTGATCGATATTCTTTAAGCCAATAGCCAAAGGAGGAGCACACCTGGCGTATGCGTAATGTGAGGAATTTATATGCGAAGGCAAAAAAGGAATTTAATATTACTAGAGAAGCTAAATATTTATTTCATATATATTGTACTATGGATATTGTTTACCTGCCTTAATTGAGCTTAAAGTCGAACGTTTTTTGGTAATTTATATAATTCGTTGTTGTCTCTTTGAATATTTAACCAACTTTTAAATTGCTTGAAATGAGTTAATCTATTAGATTCGAGCTTTTGGCCACACCAGTGTGTGTGTGTCTTTGTGTGTGATTTATATTCATTGCTGGTGGAATTTATTTTGCCATAATTTCATAAATTCAATTAAATATTCAACACTACAAATATCAATTGGTTTCCCATCTCGAAATGGCAGCCCATTGTTTAATGCTATCTATCTCTCTGTCCCCCCTTTCAAATGGGGAAAATGGAAAATGGTATTTGTAGCATTTAAATAATTGATCCATTTTGTTTTTGTATTCCTGGGACGCTTTAATGGCGGGAAAAGCCAACTGAAACTGCAATTGCTAAAACGATTTTCGCGCCAATTTCGTTTGATAGCCTGCTGCTCCTGCTCCTCATCCTTCTAAAACCTTCCCCCTCTTTGAGCCTCGCACCCGATGGCACCAATCACGGCTTGCCACCATCAATTAAGTGTCAACTTTGTTGTTGTTCTTGCCACACAAAGCAACAAATAAAAAGTTGTAATAAAAGTTGACAACATTTTTGGTGCCATGCAGCAGCAGCAAGAAAAAACTTTTGCCGATTTTTATATTTGTGCACAAATTTTTAATTTGCCCAGGCCCAGGCGCTGCACCAGCCCATAAATTGTTTTATTTGAAAGGATAGCAAAAGGGAGAGAGGGATGGAAGTGGGACTGAACTGCAAACTAAAACTGAAATTAAACAAAACTGCTGTCATCATCTCTGGCAAGTAAACAATTGACGAGGGCGGTCTGAATGAATGAATGAATGAATGAATGAATGACTAACTGACTGACTGACTGAATGACTGGCGGCAAACTGTCAGCGACTGAGCGAGCGAGTCCTGAGACATACAACGCTCATACAACTGCCACAACTCAGCCACGTCAAGGATTCAACCATTTTCTGGGGCTCTATGCAAATTTAATGTTCCCAAACAATTTTCGTTTAGTTTTCCATTTCGCAAGAGCTTGCTGAAGAGAGTACGAGGCGAGAGGAAAAGCCTTGCCTTGCCTTGTCTTGGGCCTGGCCTCAAAGCTGTCATTACATAATGACAATCATTAACTGGCCACTAATAGGCGCAGCTCCTGCGGCTTGGTCAAGTCTTAAATACTCTGGAAAAATTAGAGGGAAGGGTGGGGATACATTTTATATTATTTAACAAATTTACTAAGCTTGGATTCTTGTTGAAATAATTATTAAAAATTCCTAAGCTAGCTACATGTTTCTGTATAATCTCTGCTTTTGAAAGTCTAAGAGATCTGTACAAGTTCTGGAACAAAAATCAATACTATATATAATATAGTATATTTCTTATGTGCTAATAACCTTTTCATTTTCATTCTTTGCTTCATGATTATCTGAAAGATTGCTTTGATATAATCCTATATCTTTAAAATGCAACCCAGTGACCTGCTGATCTCCTTTATTCATATATTGGTCCCTTCTTTTCATTTGACAACAAACCCGCTGACAGTTCGGATATATCCTTTTGGGGCAACCGACTGTAATTAGCATAATCAATTTGCTGCCTGCCTTCCTTTTGCGTCTCGCTTGATAAATCGTTGCGGCAAGTCATCAGCAGGGGGTGGCACTAGGCAGCAGGCCGGGCTTGTTTTCCATTTTTTTGCTGTCCTTTTTTGGGTAATGGACACAACATCAGTTGGAAGTTGGTGTTAGTGTCACTATCTCACCCGGGTCCCCTCTCCCTCTCTCTTCCTCTCCCTCTGACCCTGTCAGGCTGCGTGCATCCTTAACGGCTGAATGGGCAGGAGAACACGAGCTAAGTGTGAAGGGGCGGGGAAAACGGGTTGAGGGATGGCCAGGATGGCGGCAAGTGTTTGTCCTGTTAGGCGACCCACTTAACGCTGCAGATACGCCGCCAATTTCGCATGCAGCAAGGAGTTGCAGTTGTTCCATTTGCGTGGCGCATGTTGCACGTAGCACGTTGTAGGGAGTTGGGTAAAGAGCGGTAAAGAGCGTAAAGGGGGAGTGTTGCAAAATGGGGGTGCCTTCTGGTCCACCCCTTTTCTTTCCATTTCCTTTGGCTTCGTTTCGTTTCGTTTCGTGTTTACTTTGGCATTTTTTAGTGCATCTGCAGCACATAACTAAGGGCGCAAAAAACAAAGCAACAAGCAAATGGCCCACGAGGATAACAAGGAGCAGAAG